CCCCCCCCCCCCCGTCCCACAGGAAAATGGGATGCTTTCCTGTGTAGCTCATCTAGGTCCTTGCTGACTTTACCTCCTCTAGAAAGCCACCCTGGACAATCTTGGCAGGCAGGAACCAGGTCCTGTGGCACGGAATGGGGGAAACCAGCCTCTTGGTCCTGCTGTAAGTTGTCTCCACATCCATGCAGGCCATGGGCTTTGTGCCTTTGGACTCCTTGGAGGGCCCCATGGTACAGATGGGAAGGCTGAGCTCCTCTGTCACCAACAGGGAGGCCCCACTGTGCCAGCTGTGTGACCTTGACCTTTCCTTATCTCTAAAGGAGAGATCTGGCTTGCAGGATGGTGGGCTCAGCACTGGATACAACACCTACGACCTAGCAGGTGCAACTTACACAAGACTTCTCTCCTCCCTGTTGATATCCCATCTGGGATCACTAGGGTATTTCTGATCTCCTTCCCATAGCCCCCTCAAATGTGTGTTTACCTGCTTCGGAACGAGTCGTGATCATAGTAACGGCAGACGGCTTGACGCCCGCAGGTCTGGGCCCAGTACATGCAAGTGGTGTCAATGGCACTGCCATGGATCACGGGGCTGGGCATCCAGGCTAGGGGGAGAAGGGGCTCAGGGAAAGTGGAAGCCCCAGCCCCCACCCCTCCATGCACACACACATTCCCTCAGGGGCTTTGGACCACAGAGGGGCTTCTTGGCCTCCAGTCTTTGGCTTCTGGATACCCCTGAGCATGGATCAAAAGGAGCCTCCATTAGGTTCCTATGTTCTACTTGTACCCCTGCCCCCCTACCCCCCGCCACATATGTTACTATTAAGTTAAGGGACTGGGTCCCATGGATCTGACACACAGAGGGCATATGCACCCTCATCACCACCACCACCAAGGGGCCCATGCAGGCTCTTTACCCAAAACTCTCAGGAGCATGAACTGCATCCCCACAGCCAAAGGCTTGTCTTCCTTCTTCACTCCCCTAACAACAGAAGGTAGTGGCATGAGGCTTAGGAGGGTTCTGGGCCCCAGTGAATGGTTCTCACTATACCCTTCTCTCCCACCATGATGTCAGCCTCATCACTCTTCTCCCTCCAGACCCTAGAGCAGGGGGAGAGAGCACATGCCCCTCCCTGTAGGATGCTCTCCTTGAGGGGAGGCCTAGGGTATGGGAAAGTAAGGGCCTGGGCTCCAGCTGTGACATTAGTCCTTTACTACTTTTTCTGAGCCTCAGTTTCCTTCTCTTCAGGCTTTGTTGCCAGGGGGATCAGCCAGGGCCTGGACTGTTATGGGAACCCAGGACACTAGAATGGCCTCCTTCCTCCAAGTCCTCCATTGCTCCATTGAGTGCCTCATTCTGGCCATAGTTAAGGACATTTTTGTTGTTCTTGTTGTTGGTTGTGGGGCTTGAACTCAGGCCTGGGCAATTCCCTCAGCAATTCAGCTCAAGGCAAGTGCTCTACCACTTGAGCTACAACACCACTTATGGTTTTCTAGTGGTTTATGGGAGATAAGAATCTCACAGACTTTCCTGCCTGGGCTGGCTTTGAACCACAATCCTTAGATCTCAGCCTCCTGAGTAGCTAGGATTATAGGCATGAGCCACCACTGCCCAGCTGGTTAAGGATACCTTGGTACCCACCAACCCTCTCCACCCTTGCTTTTACCTCAGAATGAGCATAAAAGAGGGTGTGTGGGTGACACTGGCCACTGCTGCCCCCAGGCTGACCAGGAGAATGAAGGGTAGCACCAGGTGGCTGCAGTCTGAGTCACAGGAGCCTGCAGGGACTGGGCCGCCCCCCACTACGCAGCTGCAGTTGGTGTAGAAAACCTAGCATGGGAGAAGAGAAAGAAGCGCTCTCAGTTATCTCCAAGGGCAGATGTTAGTGAAGGTCTCCACTGAAGCCTGGGAAGTTCCCAGCCAGCAGAGTCTGGACCTAGGCTGTGCCTATGGGGCTCAACCTGGGCTGTGCCTATGGGAAGAGGAAGAAAGCAAGAGTGTGTTCCCATGTCAGCCCTGATGTGTCTGATGGCAACTTGGTCAACCTCCAGCTAGGGATGCTTTAAGGGTTAGTCTGGCCATAGTGCCCTCAGGCACCTGTCAGGAGCCAAGCCAAGCCAGAATGCCTGGCTTCTCCTGTCTTCCCCCACACAGCTTCTTTGGGTGATATGGCTTCCTTTCCTAGAGCCCAGGTAGGCACGTGGGGACTGGTCCTGTCAGCTCCGCTCTCTAGTTGGCTGGGCTGGCCTGGGGCACCGGAGCCCTCTGGGCCTCTCATCTCCAACAGGGGCAGCCTCAGACTCTCCCCACTGTGAAAAGATTCACGAAACCCCCTGAGGTGGAGGCTGGGGGCCTTGGAAGGACTTAAGCATGGCAGAGATGTGAGGTGATAGTATTAAACAAAAGATGCTCCTACTTCTACTGGACCGGACTGGATGGGTGAATGGGAAGGGTCGGGGGACAGGCAGAAGGAATACCAGGGTTGGAATTGGGATGAACACGAAGCCTAGAGACTTTCCCCTTGGGATTCCTCCTTCTCACCCATCCAATCTCATCACACAAAACACCTTTGGTCTCTACCTCGGGCCTGAGTCACTCAGCCCCCGTCTCTGTGAGTCTGAGACCTAGCCCTTCCCCATCTCACCGACTTACTCGCTTGTGCCTAGACTCTTACTGAGCACAGCTAATGGGTCAGCCAATCCTTGAGCCAAGACACCATCCCAGGTCTTCCAGATTTCCCTGATGCTCACCTGTGTGGGCCACACCCTTCTCCAAACACTGCACCCAAACCCAACCACTGTGGATGGCCCAAAGGGGGCTGGATTGGGGTCAAAGCCTTTGGTTTTAGTCCCAGCTCTGGTATGAAAGTTGTCACCGCCTCCCATTTGCAAGTCTTCCTTTTTCGCCTAGGAGCAAATCCTCTGTGCTTACCATCTTCTAGGCATGGTGGGAAGGGCAGCTTTCCCCTTACTACTTAATGAATTCACCCAAGGAAAGTAGTTATTCAGCACAGGGTACTAGATAAAATCACCCCTATTTTACATACCAGGAAACAAAGTCACAGAGTAAAGGATCTGCCTATGTGAACCAAATCAGTCAGGCAAGAGAGACCAGGTTGCTTGGCCCTTGGTGTTCAGCTACCACCCATAGTTTACCATCAAGTCAGAATTCCCCCACCCTTACCCCTGCCATGACCTATTGATCCTCAAAGGGATTTCAGGGAGACTAGAAGGGAATTCAGGAGCTCAAACTAGGTCAGGACAATGAGTGCTTAGGAGGCCTGAAAGGCTGGGGTGGTTTTGATTCTAAATGCAAACGCTTTCAGCCCAGCTGCACCTGGCTGACTTCCAAAAGGCTGTCATGGCCACCAGCCACAGCTAGGTGCTTACTCTGTACCATGTGGAGGCTCAGGCCCTTCCCTGCTAACTAACGCTGACAGTGGCTCAAGGGTAAAGGTTCTGTGTGCAGGTGGGGCTCTGGAGAGAGGAAGGCAGATCCCAACAAGCACCTGACAACGCTCACTCTGCACTCTAACATGCTCGACTAAAGCCTAGAAGTCTGAGGAAGGCAGGTATTGACCCTAATTATCATTCTGGGAAATAGAGGAGGAAGGGAAAAAGCAGTGTTGGTGTTAGGGGCCCTTGTCAGGCTAATACAGAACATACTGCAGCTGATTACAATGACTTTGTTTTCCTACTGGGAACTGCCTGAGGACTGGGACCCTTGGCTTTGAAGCCTCAGTGTCCTGCAGAGAGCCTGGCACAGAACAGGAGGATCTGTGAAGGTTTGTTGACTGACTGATTGATGACTGTCTGACCAGGCGTGTACCAGCCTCCTCAGTGATCTGTCCTGCATGCTGTCTGCCTTTCTTCACACTATGGTCTCAAGGATGATGGAGCACAGAATGTCACTCTGTCTGTCTGTCATGACCCTGCCTTAAGCTCACACATATGCTCCCTCTCCATTGCTCTGTAGTTGCATTTCTCACTCTCACCCTAATACTCACAGTGCTTCCTTTTCTGGGTCTGCTTTTCCAAGTCCTTTGGAGTTACTCAGAGCACAGGTGTGCATGCGAGTCATTCCTATACACTCTTCCAAATCTTTGTCTTTGCTGTTCCCCCCCTGCTTGGAAAGTCCTTCCTTCTCAAGTCTTAGTTTGCCAACTCATCCTGGAAGACCTAGCACAAATGCCACCTCTCTTGGAACCTTCTAGGATGCTCTGGGTTACACCCCCTCTACTCTTGTACCGACTTGTGTAAGGACCACTTCTGCCCATTGGCCCCTGGACTTCCTGTGGGCTGTTTCTTTCTCCATCTCCCCTGCACAGCTGCAGCGTGGCTCTGGCTCATCTCCCTGGGCCGAGCAAGAAAGGAAACTTAGTTTGAGAGAACAGTGCCCTGAACCTGCCAAGAGACAGAGACAGAGGGAAGAGAGCCAGGGAACAAGAGGGGACACACGCCAGGCCTGCAGAGATGGGTAGAGGCAGAGGATTGTGCCAGAAGCACAGCTTACCTGGCTTTTGTCCAGAGTCCCCTGGACCACATGGCCTGTGCAGCCAGCATGGCAGGGTGTAGTGTATTCCACATGGGCGACGGTGTCACACACAGGGTTAAAATCATCTGGCGGGCAGGAGCAGGATGCTGAGCAGTCAGGGAACAGCCTTTGCCCAGGCTGGGTGCTGGCAGGAGAGATTGCAGGCAGGGTTGGCCCAGCTTTCCTTCCTCAGGTCACACACAGAGGCCTCTTGGCCCACAGCCTGGCTCTTATTCTGCCAGCAATGGTCAGAGATTTCAGCTGCACCTGAGCTGCCCCAAGAAGAAGCAGAGAAGAGCCCCCGGAAATGTGTTGAGGGTGCAGGGTTGGGGGAGGGCAGTGAGCAGGAAGAAGGGCTGAAGTTCAGGAGGACTCCTAATGGAGAAGTGAGGTGGGGGTTGGGGGGTCTGAGCCAGAGTCTTCAGAGTTCTTTTACAGCCCTTGGTCCTATGCATCTCCCAGTTTCTTCTGCAAGCATCTCTGTTCTGTAGTGGCCTTTCTTTAGGGAACACCAGAGAGTCTCCCAAACGTAAGGGCCAAGTGAAGAGGCCTTCCTTTCCAGGAGCTGATTTGCTCTAACTACTTGAAAAGTACAGTTACAGAGCCTAACACCAGTGACTCATGCCTGTAATCCTAGCTATTCAGGAGGCTGAGCTCTGAGGATTGAGATTTGAAGCCAGCCTAGGCAGGAAAGCCTGTGAGACTCTTATCTCCAATGAACTACCAAAAAAGTGGGGGGGGGGACTGGAAGTGGAGTGGACACTCAAATGGTAGAATGCTAGTGTTGAGCATAAAACTTCAGTGACAGGCCCAGGCCCTGAATTTAAGCCTCAGGATTGACACATAGGAAGGAAGGAAGGAAGGAAGGAAGGAAGGAAGGAAGGAAGGAAGG